GTTCAGCAGTTTGTTCTTAGCTAAGTGATCAAAGCTTGCACTAATTTAAGTTTCTAGATATGTAGATCACCAACTGAAACAGAACATTAAATGCGCCTAAAGATACACCACACGAGGAATACATTAACGTTGGAGAGAAATTTAATTAAATTGCAAAAAGTCATGTCATGAAATTTGTGGTCTTTCATTAACAGGTAACTTTTTTTTTTTTAGAGACTCTTCACCTGCCTCAAACTGTATTGAATGTCTTTGTGTACAATTATGAATAAATTCAACGTATCTGTTAATAGTAAGTGTGAAGGGGGGACCATATACAACATTAAATTAAAGCATTGACTTAACCATCATAATTATATTATGTCTGGCATCATAACCTTCATCTATATATTTGAACAAGTGGTTTCAAATTTCCAATTAGTCATGTTATACCTTCAAAATCTTTGTTTTGGTGTTCACTGTTCAGTCAATATGGACTTAAATAGTTAAATACCTATAAGTTTAGTAAGCAAATAATAAGACAAAAACAAGAAAAGTTATTAACAAATAAATGTATTTAATTTTTTTTCAGTTGAATCACCATAAAATACTGAAGCTCAACCTTTTAAGAAATCATATAAAAGCATATGTTGGTGTGGCTACTGGCTAGGGGTCACCTTCCGATCTAACGGATTAAATTTTTTCTGATGGATTTTTTTTTCTGACATAAATAACAAAAAGATTGAATTTATTAATAACTTAAATTCAATCATTTTTTATGAAATTATAATTACCATAAATTGTGTTTAGTACAATTATTTTTAAGTATTAATAATTATGATAATATATATAATATTGTTACAATTAGTATTAGTAATCATTAATAATTTATATTAATTAAAATTAATTAGTACCTATATATATTAGTCATTATATTAATAAAAAATCAAAAGATTAAATTTGATTAAAAAACCATTTATAAAAATAAGGCTAAAAACCTATTTTGGTCCCTTATAATCTTTTTTTGTTTCAATTTAGTCCCTCATTAATTTTTTGTCTCAATTTGGTCTCAAACTAATTAATTGGTTTCAATTTAGTCCCAAATTAATTAATTGGTTTCAATGTGGGACTTTCCGTCCAAATTACTTTAACGGTGTTAACTTTTGGCCACGTGGACGCCACGTAGATGCATACGTGGATGCCACGTGGATGAGAATTTTTTTGAAAACACCTGGACCCAGAACGGCCCGTTCTGAAACCGGAACGGGCCGTTCTG